GTACCAGCCTCCTCCGAGGCCTTGACTGTCAGCAAGGAAGCTGTTACCACCACCATGATGAAGCCATCTACTATGATCTCTTCATACATCCCTGTCACCACTGCGAACGCTACTTCCACCGCCACCTCCGAAGCGGCTACCGCATACCCCATCACCATCCCTCACAAGCACCTCAACACCACCGTCCCGTACGGCAACTCTACCATGCATGCTTCCACCACTCTCATGACCTCTGAGAAGCCCTATGAGACTACCTACCTGCCTGTCGAGCCCTCTCACGCGCCTGTTGAAGAGTCGCATGCTCCCGCTCCCGCTCCCGTCACCACCGTGGCACCAGAGCACTCCGCTCCCGCTGCTGCTTGCCCACCAGCCACCGTCTACGAGACTGTCACGGAAGTTACGTATATGTACGTCTAAACTGGCCTAGACTAGGAGAAAGAGTTTGAAGGGAGAATCACGAGAGATAAGTTAGATTGGATGTAAATAATACCCTTCGTAAATGAAAAACATTCGTATAATCATGATAGAGATTGTTCTACATGGCCCTTATTTACATTTGATGATTCCTCCTTAGATGCCCAATGCCTTTGCGATAGCCTCTCCGACTGCTGTGGCACTGGTAGGGTTCTGCCCAGTGATCAAGCGACCAGAGATGGCGACCTTCTCGCCCCAAGGCTCAGCTGCTTTGACGAACTTGCCTCCACTGGCCTTGTTCAGCGCATCCTCGGGCAGGAAGGGTACGACCTTGGAGAGGCCAACTTGTTCCTCCTCAGCGTTTGTGAATGCGGTAACCTCCTTGCCAGCGACAAGCAGACTGCCGTCGCTCAGCTTGGCATCGTAGAAGACAGCGGGCGCATGGCACACAGCCGAAACGATCTTGTCCGCCTCCCAGAATTCCCTGATAAGTTGTTGCGAGGTCGCGTCGTCGACGAGATCGAACATGGGTCCGTGACCGCCAACGTAGAAGATGGCGTCGAAGTCCTTCGCCTTGCCCTTGAAGTCACTCAGCTTCTGGGTTGTCTTCCAGACCTGCTCGTTGTTCTTGAGGAAGTTGACGGATACATCGTCTTTCGCGGCTTCGACGGATGCGGGGTCGAGAGGTGATTCACCGCCCTTGGGCGATGCTACCGTGATGTTGGCTTTGCTGTGGAGGACGTGGTAGGGGTGGGCGAGCTCGGGGAGGTACCAGCCTGTGGGCTTGCCGGTGTCACCGAGCTTGTTGTGCGAGGTGAGGACGAAGAGAATGTTTGGCTTAGACATTTTGAAGGTATGATGTGTTTGATTTGGTGAGTTGCTGCGTAGAGTCGTTGTCTTTAAACCTTTTATGAAAAGTTCGATAGCTTTCCACTGGACAGCACCTTGCTCAATGTGACGACATGCGGGGTAGCTACGATGGAAAAGGCCCGATTATGCAGGGCACCTTCTGTTAGCGTCAGGGACGTCATCTTGAAAATTCACCTTTCCTGTTCGCCGAGTACAAGATACTTACAAATACTCCAGCATGTGATCGGCCAGCTCTGGCAGCTGTTGTGCGACGTGCTGCTCCACTCCCCACCCAAATCTCGGTGCAGCTTACGTTTTGAGTAGAATCTGGACGACGATGACGTGTTGTCAGATCCAGCCTTTCTCTTTTTGTTCAGGACATCTCATTTGGGAGCATGCGCTGGCCAACCTTCGGCGTCTCCGGGCAACTTGAAGACAGGTAACATCTCAATTGACGGCAAGATTGTGTTGCAGACTGTCATTCGATACGGTGGAGCGCAGATATTCCTCCAATACAAGCACCAGACAGTATCAAAACGCAACCCCTTCGCTTTGCGGCTTATCGCCGAACAATCTCCCAAGTGACGTCGCCGACCATCTCCACTGGATTCGCTTTCCTCAATTCCACTCCTTGGTTGTCGCTCACGCACCTTCTCCGCATTTTTCAAAGTCGGGTTCCAACTCATCATATGTCGGGAGATCCTTGGGTATGCTTTCGGCCACAAGAGCATAATCAAACACCATATCTGTAAGCTCTCTCGGCAACCTGAGCCCTATGACGTGATACACTTTTCTTTTGGTTTCGGCATAAGCCTGGCGTTCAAAGATGCTGTAGGCTGCTACGAACTGAGACTGCATACAGGACTCTTTGGTATACCCAGAAGGTCCGTACTTCTCAGGGCTCCATTCGGACTTGTCGTGAATGGGACAACCATGCATGTCTCTTACCCATTCTCGGATATATCCACACATCCGGGCGGCACCGACAAACGGTATCGGCCTGCAGTAGGATTCCTGGCGATATCGGGGTGTTCTTCCGTCCCAGTCGTAAAATGATTCAAGCAAGAAACAATCGAGATCCTCATCAGCGTTGCTGTCGAGATATATGTCTTCGCTGTGTAACAACTCCAATTTCATGGTCATATACCACGCTACTGCCATATCCCAGCAACGGACAGCTTCAGTGGCCAAGTTCCGCATCATGTGAAGCAGACGTGGCAGGAAAATCTTGTCGAAGTATTTCTTCAGTGGCTTCTGGTTTGTTGTGTGGTGCCGTATATCCCAGTAGAAATCCAAATCGCGAGCCAAACACATCTTGAGGAAATGCAGTGTATTTCTGAACCTATTGTCGACTATGAGGTAAAAGACATCCGGACTGACGGCACAGTGCAGGTCTACAAGAGCCTTGAATTCCTCTTCGGGCATGTCTAAGTTCGCTTGTCAGTGCGATGCAGACATTGGAAGGTATGTACGAACCGGCTGAGAAGACGTCATACAACGTCCAAGACCGAAAACGCCGTCCTTTGTCGACGTACGGACCTACAGGGAACTCGAAGTTAAAAGGATAGTTGTCAAGATTTCCCATCGTTACTATGGACAATGCAGGATGTGGGAGTTATGGAAGTGACGCGACTTCGAGCGCGCAGACGCGTTGCGACCTGGGGGAGCTTGGCGTACGTAGCAGTCGCTGTCGGAGGGCATCCTCCCGGGTACAACTCCGTCGGCATGGAACACACCAAAGGTCGAAAAAGCATAACTCGTTTCGCTGTTCCCGCTTACAGCCGCCACTCTAATGAGTCGCTTCTACCTGATCGTTGCATGCAAATGCAGATGAGGTCTTGGATACGCTCGCGATGTATGCCAATCGCAAAGTGCTGGGCTATCGCCTTCTGCCTCATGCAAAGATGGACTCACTGAGTATCTCTGCTGTCGTTGCGCGAACGCAATAGCAACGTCGGTTGAATGCCCCCATAGATCGCGCTCCAAGCTCGGCGATGCTACCTGCTTTCATCGTTCCCGAACGGCTAAGCTTCTGGTTGGCCAGCTGTTCAGCTGGGTCGCGCAAATAGCCCGATTTGATCTCGTGTGCATTTAGATTGCGGGACATATGAATCAGGACGAACTTCTGATACGGTGTTTACGTGTTCGCGAAAGCCATAAGAACAGATCCAAGGCATGCATAAAACGCCAGTTGCTGCGAGCGGCATGTGCAGTCAAAATATTACATAGAAGATACTCATCGCAATGACATCTTTCGACAACAAAAATGTCATCATCACGGGTTGCAGCAGCGGCATTGGCCTCGCGACGACCCTCCTCTTCCTATCACAGAAAGCCCAAGTCTTCGGCATCGATATGTCGCCGTTCGACCAAGACCTTGATGTCACCCAGAAAGCGTTATTCACCTTCCACAAAACCGGCCTTTGCAAACCCGGCTCAGCAGAAGATGCCATAGCTGCTTGCATCGCAAAGTACGGACCGAAGATCGACGTGCTGGCTAATGTTGCAGGCATCATGGATGGTTTTGGCAGCGCCGATACAGTCAAGGACTCGGAATGGGAGCGCGTCCTGACCATCAACCTCACAGTACCGGTCAGAATGATGGCAGCTGTGTTGCCCAGTATGAAAGACCAGGAAAGCGGTGCCATCATCAATGTTGGTAGTTATGCAAGTCTTTCCGGTGCAGTGGCAGGCATCGCATACACAGCCAGTAAGCATGGGCTTGTCGGTGCGACCAAGAACGTCGCATGGCGCTTTCGCAAAGACGGTATTAGGTGTAATGCCGTACTCCCAGGCGGTGAGTACCGCGTCTAGTCCTTGAACTCAGAAGATCTTATTCTAACAAGAGTTTCAGCCGTGCCGACCAACATCCGCTCGTCTGTGGTGAAAGAGGACGTCGATCAGGCTGCAATGGAAATGTACAAGTAAGGGCTTACAGCCCTTGATACCCTGTCATCGCTGACAAGCTAGCAGCCCCGTGCAGATGTTATGCCAAGGTCTCGAAAGAGACGATCTTCCATACGGATCAGTGGGCCCGAACGATATCGCACAGGGCATTGCATTCCTTGCGTCTGATGCTGCAAAGACGATCAGCGGTATTATGATGCCGATAGACAATGCTTGGTCGACGATATAGGAGGCGGGCTCAGTACTAAAGAAGCTGCTCGCTGATGGCGTAGCGCGGCGCTTATCCAGAGGACTCAGTCAACACAAGCAGTCAACACAAGAAATCTGGAGACTTCGCCGACAAGTTCGAACACGTAGTAGAAGATGACGGCCTATCTATCAAGTTAGTAAATGATAGCGAGACACGAACAACACTATCCCAAAGCAAGAAATTATCAATCAATGAAATTCGTTATCGCCTGCTGGGCAATCATGCCTCTCCGACAGCAACATCCAGCTCTCGCCGCCTCTTTCGTGCTGCCGCTCATCCGCGCAGCAACTCTGCCAAGAATGCCTCCGTCGGCTTCACATCGAGAACTGTTCCAACCATGCCTGCCTCTACTAGGCCTCAGTCCACAATCAAGCGCTGCACGGTCCTGACCGCTAGCTCCGCCTCGTTGCAACAACCACTAGTTCGACCTCGACCCAGCACAGACTCATCGGTGAAGCTGTTCAGCGAAGGAGTCGGCCTTCGGGGACTGCCAGGATGGTGACCAGGCTTCCAGCAAGTTTTGCGTACATGCAGTTCGCATGTTGACATACATCCAGGTGCTCTGGCGCAGATATGTCCCCTAGCGAATCAAGCCATGATATCTAAGCGCTGCTTTGCACCAGTTGAACTGCCTTCTCCCGATAATGTCGGTCAGCTCTTTGCTGTGGTACTTCATCGCAATGTCCACCCGTTCCTCGTGGGTCAGATTAACGACTTTCTTATATGCCCATGGGCAATCTCCAGGGAACGTGAAGTCTTCTGGGCCCAAACTCATAGCCCAACGGGTGAGCCAAGGGCCGTATGGAAGTTCTTCCGGCTCAGGAGACTGTCGAGCAGTTCTTGCACGCTTCTTTGCCTTTGGTCGCGTTGACGGTGTTGGTTGCTGAGAAGGCCCCGCTCCATGATTCGCAGTATCCCTCATTGCCCTCGGTTGCGTTGGTGGTGGCACCTGCTGAGAAGCACTCTGACTTGCAGCCTCCCTTTCTGCCCTCATCCTGGCACCGGGCAGCTTGTCGGGATAAAATTCCTCGAAGGCGTCCCATAAGGGCGCCCACTCTCCATCCAGGAAATTTCCCTGCGCAATCGCATCCGAAAGCTCATTGACAATATTCAAGGGGACTTGGAAGAATGGCTTGCCACTGAACGGAACTTCTGTCCCTTCTTTGTCGAATCTTGCCGGCAAGCACCACTTCTTGAGGTCTAGAGGCTCATCCATTTCTTTCCTTAGAGCATCGAAGGCTTTCGCCAAACTCTTTTGCGGGTTTATTAGATCCAGCCCAAGTTCGCGAAGGTAAGCGTAGACAATCCTTCCGACGTCACTTTCCGTAGGTTGATGAGGTGGGGAGTGTGTTTCCTCGGAGTCCGGCGTGGGCAACCGTGGAGGTGGCGCCATCTCAGTAGCCTTGCCTTTGCCCTTGTCTTGTCTCGATTGTAGTGGTGTTTCCGGAAGTTCAGTACGCTCGGCTCTGAATTGCATTGCCGCACGCGAAGAGACAGGAGACGAGATGTCCATAGCGGCTTCAGAAGGAGGGATTGAAACGCCTCCATTAACGCTTACATTGCTCAATGCAACACCACCATCAACGCTTTCTGGAACACCGCCATCAACGCTTTCTGGAACACCGCCATCAACGCTTTCTGGTACACGTCCATCAACGCTTTCCATGTCTACATCCTTGGTAAGGTCCACGTGCACTCGCTGCTTGGTGGTAGACGCCGACCGCGACTTCGGATTGCTGGAGGATGCTTTTCGGGAGTTGTTCTTGGACTTGTGTTGGTTCGGGGAGGTTGGGAGAGGTCGTATATCGTCGAAGAATCGCTTCTTCCTTACGGAGAATTCTTGCTCCGTAGGGCGGGCGCGCTTTGCGGGAACGTGTGGTTGTTGCTGTTCGGTCACGTCATGGTATCTATAGGAAGAGATCAGCTGGAGAGCTCTTGTAACTACTCGCAAGATGCTCACTCTACAGGATCGGAATACCCCAAGCGACCTTTCTCGGGTGGGTCATACGTGATTTTACTAGGAGTCCACTCGTCCACTGGCATGATGCTGTCTGGACAGGTTCAAAGCTGCAAGTGCTGTCTTCTTCACGGTTCGTGTGCGTTGGTACCTGAATGGAAGTCGTGGGTCCAACGGGAATGCAACGGGAAGAGGGGCGGGAACTTCGCGCTTTTGACGCGCGTTGAAACTCTCCACCGCCTCCTGATTTTGGCTTCTGTCGAATGTCTGTGCGCGTGATGCAGATGGATCCGCGGATGCGGGGCCCTGCCGAACCAACGAGGTGGTGGGCCGTTCGTTGTGACATCTGCACGAGCGAGGATGCAGCTCCATCGCTTTCATCTGATCTCCGTTTTTTACCGTGGTGGCAACTCACAATTCGTCCACCAGGTATGGCTATCGCCGTGTCAACGAGCTGTCGTTTTCTCGTGAGCGTCTCACCACGTCAGCGGCCCGCTTGACTAGTTAGTGGCTTGGCATCCTTCTCTGTCCCGCTTCTGGAACGCCTCCAGGGCTGCATCGCGTCCTACACAGCGAAGGATTCCAACAAGTCTTGCGAAGAGAGACATTTGCAGGCATTGCACAACTTGACTCGCGTTCTTCAAACCGCCAAACCTGAGGTTGAGGCGAGGAGTTGCCGTGTCAGCACCTTCCCTTATCTTCTTTCGGCGTCGCGTCCATCATCTGCAACGCGACGGCGCTTTAACATCCGGAGATCATACCGTAGTGTTGCTTACGGGTAACGATGGAACACCAGAGAGTTTGAACCCGATGACAGCGCGGCGCCACAATATCGATATACTATGAAGATACGGTAGTCTCCTGGCATGAGAAATGAAAGGGTCATCGATCCTTTCGATCTGGCCGTGTGGCGAGCATTTACTTTTGCTGCTCTGCGGCCTCGACGCGTCGAATCTTCCTAACAACATTGATCGCGCACTCTACCTGAAGTGCAGGACCGAAGAACCCCCAGACAGACATCACGTGGTCAAAGGGCTGGACACTCCCGAGGTCAGCTTTTAGGTCGAGCTTTGCTGGGAACAATGTGGTCATATGACCGAAAAACGTATCGAGAGTGCCTGCTTCGTTCCTCACTCGTCTATTATATCTGCATATCAATATCATCGCGTTAATCGCATCCCATTCTGTTGCTACCCCGAATACCTCCTAGGATCATCCACCAAATTCTTCAATCTCCACGACTTTGGATCGTCGCTGAGGCTTGTACCCGGCAGTATGAGTTCCGAAAGAATTGGATGTGAAAACCCTAGGTCCGTTTCGTCCATTGGATCAGTATCGCTATCCGTCTCTTCGATCGAGACATAACGCCCGACAGCGTTGCGAACGTCGGCACTCAGTCTTTTTCTCATGATCATGAGCATGATACCGGCGATGTAGGCGCTTTTGGATTGCTCATATAAGCCACCGAAGCATAAGACGAGTGTCGAAAGGAGAGATTCGCTGACTTCCGGGGGAGCGTTGCCCGGATCTCGTTCGAGTTGTTCAAGAGGCTCCAATGTTAGGTTGGCGAGCTGGGCCAGGAAGATGGTAAGCGTGGAGTCGTAATCCTCGAAACTATGGCGGAGGTAGTATAAGCGCAAGATACTCTCGAGTTGAACGCTTGCATGGGTAACGATTTGCTCAGCTGCGTTGCGTTGATGCTGCGTCAACAGCTGGACGCCATCATTCCCAGACGAAATTTGCGACCGGAACAAAGTTACCAGAGCCGCATAGTACTCGCAACTGCAAATATCTTAGCTTTCATATCATGATCATCTGGCGTGGCCACTTACTGTAGCATCAGATGAGCGGGGTACACGATACAGCGGGGTTGCAGTTGGGCAGGCAAACCTCCATACCAGGCTTCCAACTTTGCCTGGATATGCAGAGCTGCACCCCAAGGCATCTTCCTAGACTCTTTGGAGCGACTAAAGCACATGACACCGATCTCATTCTGGATGACCCGCAACTCGCACAGTGCTTTCATACTATGGGCGAATTCGGGTGAGTAGGTCTGCTCGTCCGGTGGATAACGCAATGACATCTGACCATACCACTCCGATCTACCATCGACGTCAGGAAGCGGATCTGCCGGGATATCCAAGAGGCACGGTGGCTTGAAGTAGTAGTAGCTCTGTAATCTGACAGAAGTTAGCTGAGGAATGATATTGAACAAGTGTACTTACGACAGCCACGCGGAAAGGGCCCAAGCAGTGAACGATTTCGCGTGTTCAAGTTTATTGTCATATGACCGAGGCGTGAAGAGACTCATTCGATGTGCCATGCTGAGCGCTTTGAACATGTAAGAGAACCCGACCCTGTCATGACCAAAGTCGTTCATCGTGGCGTTAATGAGGCAGCCAGCTTGAATCGTTGTAAGCTTTGGCTGCTCCTCCTCTAGTTCCCATAGTCGTTTTGCTTCAGCCAAGAATCGATATGGCAGGCTATCTGGATTCCAAAACTTGGTCTGGTTGGCAAACAGTCGAGAACTAACCTATGGCACGTTAGTGAACCCCCATCCATGATACAGGTGTACACTTACTCACACAAGATTTGGCCAAAAGTGCATTGACGAGTAGAGGAGAGCAGAACTCAGCTCTTCTCGATACCATGTCTTCTAGTAGATAATTCTTGACGAAGAAGAACTGTCTTGGATACTGATTGACAAAGTAACTTTCGAGAATGTTGCGCAGCAATCGATCGTTGGAGCTAACACTAGTCCATTGCGACGGTTGTGCATCCTCAAGTAGAGGGTCAACCAACTTGGCCGAGGACAAAGGTCTCCAGTAATTGCTCTCTTGCGGAGCAAGATGCGCCTCTGAAGTACCCATGTCCCTGTCAGATGCATCGATTACTTCATAAACCCGTGATCGAAAGTAAGCGCTGTCCCGAAGGCTTGGTGGTATCTCATCCAGGAACGGAAAGTGAAAGCGCGACGACGCTTGCGGAACATCAGAAGCCTCAGCGACCATATTCCCTTCTTGAATATGCTTTACCACGGCCTCCGCATTTGCGCCGGCTCGAATGCGGCGAAAGATGCCGGCTGCGTCCCTCTCCGGTAGGTTTTGTAACATATCGAATACTTCTTCCTGGGCAGTACGCTTCTCTTTGAGCTGCTCGTATCTACGCTTGAACTGCCGTGATTCCGTCTCGCCATGACGACACTCAGTCTCTCGCGTCACGCATGCAGTGCATTTAGGCTTTAATCCGTCGCACTGTTTGTAGGTCAGCAAAAGCACCAAAGGCGCAGCATGTATGTACTTGCTCTTGACTTACGAACTCGGCAAGCCTCGCAAGCGTTGACACGTGTAGCCTTTTGCCTCTCCACAGATTCTCTGCGAACTCCACCGGCAGGTGCAGGTAGGAGTGAACGCAGTGGTGGTGGACTTCGTGAAGCTCCTTGGTCCATTCCTTTGAGACCGTGACGTCAGCCGCGTTGTTACTGCAAGATCAACTGCAAGGCTCCGGTCTATATAGACCTCTGCATGACTCTGTGAAAAACGCGTATCAGAAAAGTGCCACAGAAAGAAGCGCGAGTAGCTGGTATCTGGCGGGTGGAGGAAGGCTCGAAGGGGAATTTCGTATCGAGGTTTCGTGGCGCCACTTCGGCGCTATTGTCGTCCCGCCAATCACTTGCCGCGTCAGGATCTTCGATCCTCTGCAGCGCGAGCACGTGTCGCCGTGCTAGCGCGTTTTGGCATCGAAATCGTTCAAGAGATCGAACTTTCCGCCATCCTACATCAATAACGTGATGTCGGTGAGCCACTCCGTCTTCGAGCCACATCCATGCACTCAGCGCTCTTTGAAACCTGCCAAGCAACCAGCAGAATCGGCTATGCATCCGGCCCCTCGGTCTACGACACTGACTGGGTATTTCAATCCTCAGCCATAGTTGCCAGTGTCAGCCTGTGCCTAGGCCATGGCAATAGCGTATATCTCGCCTTCGCGGCGACTGCGCTCGTTTAGAAGAACCCTCACTCTAATGCCGAGATTGTGATCCGATACCCAGTGGGGCCTATGCTGTATGGTAACACAATCGGTTCTATCCTATAGATCGGCTTTCCGGTATGTATCGAATACCACACCGGCCTGTTCTAAAACGGGCGCGAGAAGCCAGGCAGGATCACTATCGCGTCGTTCCGCGGCATAGACCTCCGAATTGGATGTGTTGTGTACTCATCAACACTGCACTCTCAGCCCCTCCACCCTCTCCTGCGGCGTGGCCAAACATCCACAAACAAGAGAAAATTTGACCGTCATATGCAACGCAGAGTCTGACCCGACCAACATATTTGAGAATTCTCCCAAACAGGTGCGGGTTTTGCATCAGTCATACCTTGGAGGAGTCTAGCGATGTTCTCAGACGACTCTACTATCCTCTTTGAAGCGACAGTGGCGCGAAGCAGGACATTGGCATACTGGCGCTTATCTCGATTTTGTATCAGTCTGGAAGTACTGCAGTGTGGAGGATAATTCTAGAAGCAACCTGCTCAGCATTCGACCACGTTAACACTGGC